CATGTTGCAATCAACCTTAGACCTACAATGTAAGCTTATAAGGATAGATAAAAGTCTTGCTCATCAAATAAGTCCTTTCTAGATTGTCCAAAGATTGCAACTTTTACACAATTTTCAACTCAATGGATGATGGGGTCACTTAATTACCACAGAAAGAGGCATTTAGCATAGAAAAAGAAGCCAATGTAAGAGGAATATTAAAAAAAAAAAAAAAGCAGTGACCTGACCTTTAGTTTTGATGAGAACTTCATTAGCTTTAGGTCGAGGCATATGGAAATCTTCAAAGGTGAGGGGTTTGCCTGGTTCCCAAAACACAGCAGCACGCATATGAGAAGGACCACCACTTAGATGGTAGTAAGAGGCCTCTGATGGTGCTGTACTATTCTTCTCCGATTCAAAACTTGAACAAAAGGATCGATTAGTGAAAGGGGTCGTTGATCTTGCTAAAAGTGCAATCTTTGATGATGTGCTTCGAATGGCGCTGCGAATTATGTGAGGGAAAGACATTGTTGATCCTTTGTTTTTTCAACTACAGATTCAACGATGGAATGGGACTTGTTAGTATTTTAGTATTACTATGAAATTAATGGATAAACATTAAGATAAAATATTATTATTATTATTATTATATATCAAGAATGGAAGGAAAATATATGATACCAAAATAAGGATAAAGTGCCTAATATATCACCATAGTTTTGCAAGCTGAGTCACTTTTATAACACCTCGCAAATTTTACACACACATTTGCATTGTGAGGAATATAATACAAAAGTTTCAGGTTTTTGTAATTAGGATAATTTTGGGATATGATGTAATTGTATGATATTTTTGTGAGTTATATAAAAAAGAATTAATTATGTCGTTATTAATATTATTTTTGTTTATTTTTAATTGATATAGTTTTTTAAGAATCAAATAATAATAACTTTGATGAATATTTTATAATGTATTTTTTCATATGCAAAAAATTAAAGTTTATAACACTTTTCACATAGTATTTAAATATCTAAATTTTTGTTTAATATATAGAATTAATGTAATCTGATTCAACTTTGAAATAGTCAAATTGACTTTCGAAAATGCAACATCAATTAAAAGTGGACAGAGAAAGTACTTGCTACTATTAATAAGGATGACTGGAAAAGAAATTAGCCCTCCGGCCTCTCCCACTTATTTAAAGTGAGACATTACGCGATTATTTACTATTGTAATTTTTTGTATTTTATATCTAGTCCCCGTAAGTTGAAGCTTTGTCATGTCTAATCTACTTACTTCCCCTAGCATTCTTATCTCTGCCACATTTTTCTTTTGAAGTTGAGCATTTTTCTGATATAACAATACCGATCTAACCACTAGTCATAGAACCTACCTTGAATAATGGACCCACGATACTTAAAACTTCCTCTTTTATATATGACTTATGCAATGATGTTCACTTCTCAACCTTTGTCTCATGCATTACATCACTAAACATAGCTCCATGTACTTAATTATGGTCCTACTTAACCTAAAACCTTTAGACTTTAGTGTTTGTCTTGAAGCTTTAAACCTTTCTTTAACTTCATCACACGTCTCGTCAATTAATATTATGTTATCTGCGAAAAATATGTACCACAATGCCTCACATTGAATATGACATGTCATTTCGTTCACTATTAAGGCAAATAAAAATGGGCTAAGAGTTGATCCTTGCTGTGACCCCATCATGACTAGGAAGTGATCCAAATCACCTCCAATTGTCTTAACCCAAATTTTGAATCCATCGTACATGTCCTTAATAGACCTAACGTAGACCAAATATTTAAGTCTCTCTTCTTGCCCTTGGAATCTTCTTACAAGATGCATGGCTTTTGTAATTGACCATCATGACATGAATGCAAATGGATTCTCGAAGATAATACACCCCTACTCATCATCATCTTTATCATCCTCCCTTAAACTTGTTAGTAGCTTGATACTCTGTAGTTATTGCAATTTTAATTATCGTTCTTGTTCTTGTATAATAAAACAATTGTACTATATCTTGATTCTTATGATGTTTTAGTCGTCTTAAAATAACATCGAACAATTCAATCACCACCTATACCTTCCTTGCTTGGATTCTTACAAAAATACACCAAAATGGAAGATGTTGTATATCAGAGGACTTATAATGTCAATAATGCCTAAGTTTGAACAAATTAATAATGTAGAATAATAGGGATATGGAAGTTTTATTTATTTTTATTCAAAATAGAAAAGAAGAGTATATATACATAAGACTTGAAACAGAAGCATAAAAAGAATATAGATAGAGACAGAGGCAGAGGCTGGCGGCATCTCTAACTAACTAACTTTGCCACAGACATAAGTCAGAAAATTAAGCATCTTACAGAAATACGTTAGCTAATCACCGACTGGAATAAGCACATTTTGTGTTCGAATTTCATATCTTTATTAGAAAGTGCTTCAATTTAGATTTAACGAGACTCCTATATATCATCAACTACAATAGATAGCGAAAAAACATAAAACCTGCTAATGAGAGTAACATGATCATGTTGAGATGGATTCATCGCTATAGAGTATAGTATGAATATGTCCGATTGACCACTAATAATAATAATAATTGCTTAGCAGAAAAGATATACTAATTAAAAGTCAAACCCACTAGCAGAAAAGAGCGGCGTTTTTATAGATCCAAAGCAAAGTCTCTTCTAACTTTAATTTTCATTGATCGTATTGACGTTCCGTTCGTTGAGATATAAGTTATAATAATTTTTTTAAAAAATAAAAATAAAATATATATAGAGAGATTAATGTTTTCTTCCCCACTAGCTGATTGATTAATTAATTAATTAATATATAAATGGAAGTGGTGATGAGCGTGGAATCCCATACCATTACTCTTTACTCTTCCACGTGCTCTTCAGTAGTGTACATGTTAATATATATTAATAATCATAAGGGTAGGCTTGATGAACTGTAACTTACCTTTCATTTGTGTATATATCTATATGCCATGCCAGTTGCCAGATTTAATCAGTATCCCTATAAATACATGAGCTGATCAATCTATATACTTACAACCATTCTCGAGTGAAGATGCAGAATTACGAAGTTGTGAAGGAGTTGGGATCTGGTAATTTTGGTGTGGCCAGGCTGATGAGGCACAAAGAAACAAAACAGCTTGTTGCCATGAAATACATTGAGCGAGGGCGTAAGGTATCTTTTTTTCATACCTCTGTTGTGGTTATATATTATATACTAATTTATTCGTTGTTTTGGTTTGGTTGTAGATTGATGAGAATGTTGCGAGAGAAATCATAAATCACAGATCATTGAGACATCCAAATATTATTCGTTTCAAAGAGGTGCTATTAACATCAACACATTTGGGCATAGTAATGGAGTATGCAGCGGGTGGTGAACTGTTTGATCGCATCTGTCAAGCAGGGAGATTCAGTGAACCCGAAGCTCGATACTTTTTTCAACAGTTGATCTCTGGAGTCCATTACTGCCATAACATGGTACTTACTTTGTTTTTCATTTCATTTCTAATTTTAGTACTTTGCATCAAATTCGTCATCGTCTTTCACTATATATATATACAGCAAATCTGTCACAGAGATCTGAAATTGGAGAACACACTGTTAGATGGAAGTCCAGCACCTCGTCTTAAAATTTGTGACTTTGGTTACTCCAAGGTACTACGCTTTTATATAATCTTTAGCGCATATATATCTCTCTCTCTATATATTAATAACGATCGAAGTACAGTCATCTGTGTTGCATTCACGTCCCAAGTCAACTGTTGGAACACCAGCCTATATTGCACCGGAGGTTCTATCGCGCCGTGAATATGATGGCAAGGTATTTTTATAATAAAATAATCAAACATTATTGGACCTTATCGTTCAAGTTAATTATTATTTCTTCACTGATCAACTAGTATGTCATTTTATACCTACTCTACCTGTATACTCTATTAAAAAAAGATGTGTTTTTTTGTATTAGTCTGCAGATGTATGGTCATGTGGAGTGACTTTATATGTCATGTTGGTGGGAGGATATCCTTTTGAAGATGTAGATGATCCCAAGAATTTCAGAAAAACTATTTCAGTTAATTATATTCTCTCTTTTGAAGATAAATTTATAATTCTTATAATCTATTTATTAATTAATATATGATTTTTTTTGTTTTCCAGAGAATAATGGGCGTTCAATACAAAATCCCAGACTACGTCCATATATCTCATGATTGCAAACACCTTCTTTCTCGCATTTTTGTCGCCAGTCCTGCCAGGGTACTCTATCATTCATGCAATAAATAATCTTTTCATTTATGCTTTATAATAATGACATGAACATGTATTTTTTCACTTAGACCTTATTGTAATAATAAATAAAAGAATGTCTACTTGTTCAACTTCAAACAATTACATTGAGGTCAAAGGAATAATGTTACTAATGTATGATATATGTTGGGCAGAGAATCACACTAAAAGAGATCAAGAATCATCCATGGTTTTTGAAGAGCTTGCCAAAAGAACTTACAGAAACAGCTCAAGCAGTGTATTACAAAAGAGACAATCCAACATTCTCCATTCAGAGCATTGAGGAGATCATGAAAATTGTATCAGAGGCAAGAAATCCAGCACCTCCATCAAGGCCCGTTCCGCACTTTGGATGGGGAACTGAAGAAGAAGAAGAAGTAGTAGAAGAAGAAGAAGAAGAAGAAGAAGAGGAGGATGAGTATGACAAACAAGTTAAGCAAGTTCACGCAAGTGGAGAGTTCCATATCATACATGATGATGCTTAAGTTCACCATTTCTGATTTTCATCTTCTGTACAACTAATAACAGCACTTGGCCTGTTTCCTACCATCAACAAACTTAACAAAAATATTACTAGTATTCCTTCCTTGTATTGAGATTGCAGATCAAATGCTTCTATCTGAAAGCTTAATGGAAGGATATATGCCTACTTCTTTCTAAGAAGACATTATACTTAAACACTTACCAGAAATGGGGTTTTTCTAAATAGATATTCCTTTTGAACACAAATCTCTGAACATAATTAGCACAACAAAGACGAGAAAAGCTGAGTTTACACCCTTCTACTGGAACTGAAATGATAAGATTGTAATTCATTTCTAATGATCAACATTAGTCAAAGGTTGTCGCCCAAACTTTTAACCAAATACTGAACAATGGCATACCACAATCCTACAACAATTAACTCATTATATTCTCATCACAATCCTCCAAAGAGAAAACAGAGGAACCTTCATACATGAAGATGTCCTTACCAGCCATCCCAACTATAAAGCGAAGCCCTTCAAATATTCTGGATCTCGCTTTGCACGTTCTTGGAATTTCTTGAACCAGCGATCCAATATATCCATAGGCACCACCAGCTTACTGCCATCCACTCCACAAAATGACTGCATAAAATTGAATAAATTCTCGCCAACTTTCAGTGCCAACCTCTCAATTTTCTGCCCTGCAGCCACATCAAGGGAGGGAAGTGTTGCAAGATCCTCAACTGAAATACCTATCTTGGCAGAGATTGGAGTTGCATCAGCAGTGAGCTGCAGTTGCCCACCGGGCTCTGGCCAAGGAAGCGACAGCACAGCAGAGGGTCGAGTCAGTGTGACTGCACCACAAAAGAGGAAAGGTGAGCCAGGGGATTGGATATACACAGCGAGGGCCTTGTCTGGTGGCAGCGTGAAGTTGTTGAGGAGGAATATGCAGACTTCACGAATCGAATCATACGCTTCCCCTGCACATGTAATGCTAGAACTGTCAAGTGGAAAAGTACACACAGTCTTTTCTGATCAGTGAAGAATGATTAAATTATCTCCGGGTTTTGGTTATGGAACTCACCAACAAAGGTGTTCATGTCAAGGACCCAATGGGTGGGGTCTATTTGAGCAAAGGTGGAGATATCCATAGGGAAGCTTCGATTTGGGAACACTACTCCAAACATTGTTAATGACTTTTTTCCCTTGTGATTTTCCTGAGGAAGAAGAAAGGAACCACAGTTAGAATATAGATTTCCGTAGCATCCAACGATCAGAAGTTTCGAATTGACTCACAGTCAAACACGATAAGAAGTTTGTCTTCGCCACAGAACAGCCGAGATTGTAATTTTAGGCAAAGATTACAAAGTAGTTTGAAGTTGCTTACTTTGTGCTCAACACAAAAACACTGAGCAAAGTAATACTTGCCCAACCTCGAGATAATTTTTGCAAATGCACAATGAAAAGAGCAAATCTCATATATTCTTGCAAAACAACCCCAAAAAAGAGTACCATCTGATACTGCTTGATGGCCCAAACTTACTTACAGAACTTAAATCAAATAGTGCCAGAAAAGAAAATCAGCCAGCAATCTCAGATCTATGACACTAAGCAATCAGAAAGCACAATGAATCATGAAGGGTAACCAGTTGGATCACCAACTACATAACACTAAAAAGCCCCAAAGGTTGACATAATGCCTCCTGTTTCTTGAGTCCCATAATCAGATTGCAAACAAAAGCTACAAGTTAGTACACAGATACAGTTCAATTTACAGTCGTAAGTAGTAATCTTGATCCTTGTTCAGTTCTCAATGCCAAAAACATCAAAGTATGTCGAACTAAGACACAGAAGTATAAAACCAAAAACATGCAAATAACTCACAAAGAAATAAAAAGGGAACTCCTGAATCGGCATACAGCTTTGTGTTGACAAGCTGGATTTTCCAGGAAATTGCAAAAACCATGCAAACTCTTCTGCCTACCGAGTAAAACTTCTTCAAGATGGACTTCAAGGAAAAAAGCTGTCTAGTAAACTGACCCCACATCCGGTTCAATTTGCATTTATCTCGATAATTCCACCAGGTACCTGCTGGTTCCCACCAACACAAGTACCGGGTAACTATGCCAGCTTATGCAGCTTGGAAGCACTAGCTTTATTCGTCCTGATCTCCAAGGTTTACACCCACGTTATACACCACTTCTTCAAAATCCACATTCCCTTGTTCAAAATTCAGGTACAAACCTAGCTCTAGCACAAACATCCATATCTTGTACCAAACTATCCTAGCTCCATGAGAAGTTATTTATTAAAAATTGTCATAGAGTAGAACGTCCATTCCCCAAGAAATCTCTTTCACAATATAGACTAAAACTGTAAGCAGGAAACAAAAAAATACAAGCAAACATTTTATATAGCACCATTTTATATATGCAAGACGAGAAATCTCAAAGGCAGCTGAGAGGTTAGTTTCCACCTTGAACCATTTTAGTCAATTTAAAAATGAGTTTAGCTTGTAAATATTGATGGGGTAAAGATCAGTAACCCAAAAGATCTCTACAAAAATAAAGATTCTTTGTAGGAATAATAATTAAATCATTCAAGATATACCACCTTTATAATCTATGCAAGCTAAACTACCAAGTGGAACATTCACTCTATACCAGATAATGATGAAGCTTACTCAGCCAAAACCCGCAAAATTTCCAACATATCCAAGTACCATAACCACATGAGGTGATCAATTCGATCGGGCACTCACAACATATTTTCATTATTCAAATCTTTGAAAACACGAAAAAACCATTGTTCAACTCTTTGGCGGCATAAAAAAATAAAGCTCTGCCCTCGTTATTTTTTTTTTTTAAGAACCAAAAAGATTTGTGCCAAAATAACACAAGTCATTTGATGGTCAGAAGCAAATTGAAAGTTAAGCAATGGGAAGCTATTTTGAGACAGCCTGAGAGCTGAGCGACAACCTTGTTTGACATGCTTTTTCCTTCCAAAGTGAAATAATCACTCATGAGCTAATCGCACTTGACATACTACCTCACTCGATTAAGCTTTTCTTCTTATACGCAGAAGGTTTTGCTCTCATACAGCGGGTTTTCCACTTCATTCAGTTACATTAGGGCTGACACAAAGTCGATCTAGATATGATTCTTTTTTATCGCTTCCTTCCTGGAACTACCTCCTTACTTAGATCGTTAGGTCCCCAATTCAAACTCATAACAGTTGGATTGCCTGGGTATGGAACTCTAAACTACAAATGTGATCTAGAAAGAGTCAAATCTAGTCTTTTGTCTTTATCCTTCAACGGTCTCAGCAAACAGACTGAATCGTGTGCGAGAATCTTTCGTAACCCAAAAGAAGTAGTTTTCTCTAAAAGCGGACTTGAAAAAAAAGTAGGCTTTGACTTGGACAATGAAGTAAAAGGCTTGACTTCTAATGTTTTTTCGGGCTCACTTGAACGATTCGTTTTACTGAAAAAGGAGTCCATATATAAAGATATTTATACTTCTTTTCAAATACGGAAATATGAAATTCATATTCATGTGGCAAGTCAAGGCCCTGAAGAAGTAATGAAATACTACATTTAAATGCTCATTTACTCTGCAATTTAGACAAAAATGGAATTGTGACGCTGGGACGTTGGGTAGAGATGGGTGATATTTTAGTAGGTAATTTAATAGCCCAGGTCGTGAAAGAATCTTTGTACGCCCCGGAAGATTGATTGTTAGGAGCTTTACTTAGTATCCAGGTATCTACTTCAAGAAACACCATAAAAGTAAATCAACCAACTACAGCCTCAATCCCAAATCAGTTATATGAATTGTCTGTATCTATTCATTTTACTTAAAAAAAAATTGACAATTAAAACTTTTAAGGCAGATTCTTGATTAAATTATGCTGAACTGACATACAACACCATAAAAGTAAATCAATCTACAGCCTCAATTTTCTATACCTATTCAGTTATACTAAAAAAAGGTTTGATCTTTAACACTATTAAAGCAAACCCTTGACTAAATATTTCTAACACTGACATACAGCACCATAAAAGTAAATCAATCAACTACAAGCTCAATCCCAAATCAGTTAAATGAATTGTCTGTACCTATTTAGTTCTACTTAAAAAGGGTTTGATCTTTAAGACCTATAAGGCTAAATTCTTGACGAAATTAGGCACTTATTTCTAACAGTGCATACAACACCATAAAAGCAAATAGATAATAGCAAAAAGAAAAAGGAGGATGTTGAGATAGTGTACCAAAAGTTGTGAATTAGTCCAGCGATGATAGCAATTCCAGAGGCTTGCAAATGAAAGAGTTCTAAGCTATGAATGGCCGTATCCTTTTGTTTTCAAGATTAAAGGTAGGTTTTTTTTTCCCTTTAAATTTCAGAAACAAAGATTGAAGACCAAAAAAAAAAAAGTGGACATTACTAATATTTGCATCGACCAATATTAATTTATATATTTTCATGTGGAAGAAAGAGTGAGTACACATCTTGTAAAGTCTAGAAAGGTCTAGAACGTTTGGCTCAATATGAGGGGTAACATTAAGACAAATTTCATAAACCAAGCCATTCTAAGTGCTAATTAATCAATGAAATGATTATGGCAATAAATATATATACAGTAAGTTGTTTGAGGTTAAATTTTAAATATATATGATTTGATTGGAGAGATAATTATATTTAGGAGTAATATATTAATATATGAGTTGATCAATAAGGATTTGATATCAGATTAGTAATTATCAAGATTATTGGTTCAATCATTTTGTGATTTTTTAGTTTTATTTTCATTCACCAATATGTCACATCAGGCAATACAATTTTTTTTGACTTTATTTAAGACATTTAAAAAAACAACATAGATATGCAATGTATCTGTTCGACATTTTAAATTTTTATGAGGGATATTAAAGTCATCATCATCAAAAAGAGAAATGAGAGTAGACTTGAGCAGCTGAGTCACCAAAGCATATTTCTGACCAAAGTGTCAGAAGTGCACAAAGGAAGAGGGTATCTAGAGAGGTAAAATATTGCCAAAGAGGAAAAAAAAAGGTCTTGATAATTAGTAAAGTTTTCATTTTTCAGCTCTGAAAATCAAGATTCAGTTCAGAGGACCACATCTATGGATTCCTCAGACCTTACCAAGACAAAAACATCATCTTTATCAACCCCATCTAAGCATTTCTGGGTTCTTCCTTACAAAACTCAAAGTCTTGAGAGTCTTTACACACTAGGCAAAATATTGGGTCAAGGTCAGTTTGGAACTACCTATCTTTGTACTGAAATATCAACTTCTAATCTTTATGCTTGCAAGACTATACCAAAGAAGAAGCTCATATGTAAGGAAGATTATGAGGATGTTTGGAGGGAGATTCAGATAATGCACCATCTATCTGAGCATCCAAATGTTGTTAGAATAAAGGGTACTTATGAAAATGCTTTATATGTACATATAGTTATGGAGCTTTGTGCTGGTGGGGAGCTTTTTGATAGGATTGTTGAAAAGGGGCAATATAGTGAAAAAGAAGCTGCTAAATTGATCAAAACAATTGTTGGGGTGGTGGAAGCTTGCCATTCATTAGGGGTTATGCATAGAGATCTAAAGCCTGAGAATTTCTTGTTTCTTAGTTCTCAAGAAGATGCTGCCCTCAAGGCCACTGATTTTGGCCTTTCTGTTTTCTATAAGCCAGGTACATTCCCCTTTTTCATCAACTAAGGGATTTTGGTTTGATCGTCTTTTTTCTGATATTTATTTTCTTGATATTCTTCTCTAGGTTGAGGAGTGGAAAGCATGTCTTTTCTTTTAACTGCTTGATTGTTAGCATAGTCCTTGATCATAGGAATTCATGATTTTTCACAAACAAATCAGTTATTAAGTAAATGATGATTCATGATGCCTTTAAGTTTGCATCTAGACTGAGAAACTGTGATTCTTGTAATGCTCATGATGGGGAAATACTTCTTTTCTTGGGGACAGTTACCATGGGGATTACCTACTTATCTTATTCTTATGATAGCTGAGATGCTTCTCTAATTTGACCACTTAGGTTTTAGCTTATTACTGATATTATCTTTTTTTAAGAACAAGATTGAGTCTTTATTTGTTTATTATTTGAATTATACGGAATGAAATGACGGAAGAATAGGTATTCGCGTCTTAATGGCTATCCCCACTTTTCATTTCTTCTCCTCAACTTTTGGATCTGCAGGATTTGCATTATAACAGTAGTTGTGTATGTACAGTTCTAGGAAGTACTTTACCGAAGCAAAATTGTTTGTACAAGTGTCCTTTTTTTATTGTTTTATTACTAGTGTTCCCGACTGAATATTACATAGCTTACCAAGTTTGTGACTGCCGGACAATGTATTTAGAGAGTGTTCTCGAACATGAAAATGATAACTTTAATCTTTATATAAGATGACATTTTTAACTTCAATTTGTTTACTGGTCCTTCTAATCTTGGTATGGGTATCTCTTCAAATTGTCTCATCCCATTTTCCTTTTAAATGTGATTGTTCCATTCAACTTGGTCTTGCTGAAAGAAAAATTTACTTCGTTAATTTCTACTACTATATGTTTCTGGTGAGGTTCTGTTTTATTTCAGTCTCTAACACTTAGCTTTTGCTTTCACTTGCTGATATGATGTTTTCAAATGTGAAAGCCCAGCAATCTTCCTGACATTATTCTTGCATCATATTTTTTTTCTGGACAGTTGGTCACTACATTTGTCCTACATGCTGATTTTTTTTGTTCTACTTAATTTAGGAGTACTTGACCTTTAATGGTAAAAATAAACATTTCTGTTCCTTGATGTTTTTATTGTTATCAGGTGAAACATTCTCTGATGTTGTTGGAAGTCCTTATTATGTTGCCCCAGAAGTTTTATGCAAGCATTATGGACCTGAATCAGATGTATGGAGTGCAGGAGTTATCTTGTACATATTACTTAGTGGAGTTCCACCTTTTTGGGCAGGTATTGTAACTGCCAGGTTCATATTTCTATGGGTGTTGAGAAGGAAATAAAGGGTGTTGTAAAGTTTGTCTTTCATGCTCATGTTATCTTATAATTCTTATTGTTTTTCTGATTCCAGAAACTGATATGGGAATATTTCGTCAGATACTGCGAGGCAAACTAGATTTAGAATCTGAACCTTGGCCTGGAATTTCAGATAGTGCAAAGGATTTGATACGCAAAATTCTTGATAGGAATCCAAAGAGGAGGTTAACTGCCCATGAAGTTTTGTGTAAGTCCTTCTAATTGTGAAAACTGGGACTTATTTGGCTCTGGAAAATGCTGTTACCCTCTTAGTGTCATTGTTCATGAAGTTGCATATTTCAAAAGCATGTCCACAAACACGTTGAAACAAAGGGATTTTACTATGAACTTACATTTTTTGTTTCCTGTGACTCAGGCCATCCGTGGATCGTGGATGACTCAATGACCCCTGATAAACCTCTTGATTCTGCAGTTCTTTCACGCCTCAAGCAATTCTCAGCAATGAACAAACTAAAGAAAATGGCTTTGCGTGTAAGCTCTTGAAAAGTTTGTTCTCCGCTTACATGTGTCTGTACTCTCCTTGCCTGGAACAACTTCTGCCATACAGTTTTATAGTGTTCCAAGAACTTCAGCTATAAAGAAACTTAAACTGGATCTAGATGCTGTTTTAAAAGAAAAGGGAAAATGCAAAAAAGTAGTATAGAAGTGTAGGAATATAGTATATAAGTGTAGAAATATGGGTAGAATTGAAAATTATTTGGGGGATGGGAACTATGGAAGAAGTATGCCACATCCTAGAAGCTGTTAATGCAGATCATATTCATGTAACATCTATATCCATGTATATCGTCATTTCTAATTAAAGAATGCAAGTAAATGAACAATAACTACTACCATGCCACAATGATGCACTAGTTGGGTTCTTTATTTGAATCCTTTATACACATTCCGCTCTCTGAATTGTTCCACTTTTATCGGATGTCCCCAAAGGGACTATATACATCCCACTCTAGTTGAGTTCATCTTATTCCATTACTAAATAATGTTCTTTAAGACAAACCAGTGATAGTAGTATTATCTATACCACACTGTACAGAGATACAAATCTCTAGGTTTATCTTGGATTCCTACATTGTTTTTATCAAGTTGTGTCTTTCCTGAATATAGATACCAAATTGCGAGATCATAAACTAGTTACCATTGCAGTGGTCCCTTCCCATGGTATACATAGTTGGTTTTTGTGCTTATTCAATCTTCTTCTCTTTTTTCCCCTGATAATTGCCTTTCCCGTTATTCTAATTTTCTTATTTGTAGAACCATACCTCCTTGAGAGAACATGTATTCTGTTAGTCTGTATCTTATATATTTCTTGCAGCATCACAAAATGTATGTCAATTTGGTCCTAATTTACCAAAGGAGAGAAAGGAATGAGAGAAGTTAAAATGGGAAAGGAGCAAACAGTTTATCCTCTTGCAGTTTTATGAAGTCCAATCACTATCATTCTAATTTCATGTCCAATGTATTATTGAGTTATACATTTGATTCTTGTTTTACTCATTCTCTTGTTACTTTGTAGGTGATTGCCGAGAGGCTATCAGAAGAGGAGATTGGTGGTCTCAAGGAGCTATTCAAAATGTTAGACACGGACAATAGTGGAACAATAACCTTTGAGGAACTAAAAGAGGGTTTGAGGCGAGTAGGTTCGGAACTAATGGAGTCTGAGATCAAGGATCTTATGGATGCGGTAAGAATTATCCTCATTGGGTTTTTGTGTGATATCCCACCTTGTCTTTCTTCCACTCACTTGTGCTCATGTGTGTTATAACTTTCCGCTCATTTGACCACATAGATCTAACCATGTTTTATTTAACAGGCAGACATTGACAACAGTGGAACAATAGACTATGGGGAGTTTATTGCTGCTACTGTTCATTTGAACAAATTGGAAAGAGAAGAGAATCTATTATCAGCCTTCTCTTTCTTTGACAAAGATGGTAGTGGCTACATAACTATCGAGGAACTTCAGCAAGCCTGCAAGGAATTTGGTCTAAGCGAGCTCAATCTTGATGAAATAATTAAAGATATTGATCAAGATAATGTAAGTTCTATTCTCTAATGTTTTTTTAATCATGCACATATAAGAAGTAAGGGTTGATTAAGTTACATAATGTCTGCCAATTTATTAAAAGACATCCAATGGAGTTTATGAAGATTCTGCGCGGCTTTATCGATTGTCTTGAGGGTCGGATGCTCTAAACCTTTCACATGATATAAAGTCAACCTTTTGCAAGCTTATTTGTACACCCATAAATACACATCAAAAGTCTGCTGGGGAAGCCCAGATCCACTCGGATTGGTGTTTAGTTATGTAGTGTCCAACATCCAAGAGTGTTTATAAAGGTGTTGATTTGCTTCATCGCAATATATGATGAAAAAGGTTGTCAATGGTCAAAGTAAGTGATGCCTAGTACTATTACAAACGCTCTCCCATTGCATAAAGGAAGGAGAAAAATCTTTACTATTACAAACACCTTCCCATGCCTAGTCTCATTTTGTGCTGCCTGTACCAGTGCTGAAGATGAGTTAACTGATTTACACTGTATTTAGTAGTACAAGAATCTGCCATGTACCATTCCAGGGAATGGTCTTTGTGTTGGTATTATGTTCAGCTAGATAGGCTGTAGTTCTCTCTCTCGTTAAAGGTTTAATTTTTTGTTTGAATTCCTATCAGCTCAACTGGTTAACTTAGATGTTCAATGATTAGATGAGTCCAGTTCATTTCTCAATTTCCAACTCAATTTGTGTGCAACTTGTCCTTCCGTCTTCTGTTAATTCTTAGTTTCTGTTCCTGTGTTTTCCCCACTAAAAGAGCTTGCAAAGTGCAGGATGGACAGATAGACTATGGGGAATTTTCTGCAATGATGAGGAAAGGCACCGGCGGAGGCGTTGGAAGGAGGACCATAAGAAACACATTGAATTTAGGAGAAGCACTTGGACTTGTACAGAGTGAAGAAAACGTATGACCAACAAACGCGATGTTTCTAATTTCTTTTTGCCATGAAGGTCCAATTATATGACATTTACTGCTACAAGGGTTAGGTGTTGAACTTGATCCCTTTCCTTGCTTTATTGACGACTGTTTTTTTTACCTTTATTTGTCTAAGCTTAGAACAATTTTCTTCTAAATCTGCTTCATTTTCTTTCTAAATGTTGGCCTTTGTGCTGATTTTAATTTTGGATCGTCTCGAATTCTCATTGGAAGGTGATTTTTAAGTATCTGAATACTGTGGAACCTATACTGCTATAGAAATTCACACCTCAAGAAAAGAGTATCAGTCTCAACCATATTATCCCTTTCTTCTTCAACTTAACAATGACAGCAGTGATTGCCTTCCCAACTCGTAATACTTTGGCTTCAAGTTCGTTTTCCTCCTGATTATGTAAGATAGACAATGATTTAATGAGGATATTGCATTGTATCGTCCTCTTAAAAATTAGAGAATATTGACTCACACCATAATGAAAAATGTTAAACTGACCATTGATGCTATGATACCAACTTGCTTGTGTGTTTTTTTCCCTGATCAGATCTTAAATTTCAAAACCAGTGCTGTGCATGTTTTCGTCTTATAGAAGCAAAAACTAGAAAACCCTTATTGCTTAAGTTTGTGGCATTGCTTATTAAAATCAGAACATGTACACACATATTGCTCAAGACTTGAAAGTGACCTTCAAAAGCATTCAGATTGATTAAGTTATTGCTCATAACACTCTGCTAAATGTAGTTGAAGAAGCTATATATTATATGGAAATAAAACTGTATGTACCACATAAAAGAAGAGCCGGACATTCCATCAGATGATATATTATTCAACACTATAATGCTATCTTAAAGTTTATCCTTCATTCATTGTGAGATTAAGATAATCATTCTCATTTCCCCATAAATTGAGCTCTATCTTTTATTATGTAAAAAAATATTATACTTCCCCTAGTATGTACATTTCTGAGATAAAATAGGACCCAGTCACAAGCAGAGTACTTGAACAGAAGAGCCAAATACACAACCACACACACATGTATAGGCAAACTTCTTACTTGATGCCAGCTATCCAAATTAAGCACATGTTGAGAATCAATGTAGGATGCTTAATCTTACCTTGAAGATGGTTGTTGCCTATCCTCTTCAGGTCTCTTCGGCTACATCTATCTGCTACCCTCTCACCTTGATACTCATGAATGAAATGCATTATTTACATTCAAAAAAGGTAGGTTCTTTTGGGTATGTCAGGCAAGATGATTACTACTTATAATAATATCCTGTTATTGCAAACACTAGCAAAATCCATTCCTGAGACACTAACTAATCAATTTTGATGCTTGTTTTGAAGTATAGAAGTCGTTTATACCATCCACTTGATGGGTATTTAAAGTGTTATCTTCATCGTCTATAAGATAATGTCTGTGTGTACAAAGTTGGTGCTGTAATGTCAAGTCTCAACGGTTATAAACTGAACCTCAGGTAATGAAATGTGTATCAAATGCAAAGTGCACAATATTTCTATGTTTTGTAATTATTTGAAAGAGTAGAGACACTAGAAAGTGCAATTTTGAAGACTAATAAAGCAGATATTCCTCAACAATACAAAGTATAGGGAGTATTGGCCTGTTGCCCAATTCAATGTGAAAACGAATATGATTGTGGTGCTTTTGAGATTTACCATCGTTCACCTCCTCCATATTACAAAATACAGAACCTCAAGGCATTTACTATCCACAAATATTTAATGATGATACTACTAATTTGCTAAGGAAATGGTACGCGATAGCCTGACAAGAATAAAGTTACAAGAATTTAATCAGAAAATTATCTAGTCACCGTGGCATGAAAGCCTCTTGAACGGAACACAACCAGCATCCTTCACATGCAAGGCAGCTAAGCAATGGCATAAGTTAGTGTCTCAACGTCCTTTGGTCGCCACATTGTTTTCTGGCAATACAACAATCCTTCCTTGTCCTTGGAATAGGTCATATTGATTTCATATTGCATAGACTTGAGCATACTTTCTAACTCAGTTATAGTCTCCTCTTTGTCACGCACAATGAGCTTCCCTCCTGGTCTCAAAATGCGGTCAACTTCAGCAACTATTGCCGGTAAACCACACCTAGAGATTCAAGAACCAAGGCACTATCAGATCACAACATAGAGAAACAGAAAATGAATGGTGCTGACTTAAGTCAGTAATTTTAAAGGTTAAATGTTTACTTTGTTTTAATCTTGGAGAAGAGATGGTCTGCATGGACAAGATCGTACGATCTGGGGTAAGTGCTGAAGGATTCACACCAGTCATGATAAATTCCAAAAAGACCTCTTTCATAAATAATTGGTAGTGTATCTGGAGCATCTACTGAGACAACGTTCATAACCCACACATTCAAGTCTCTTAAAGCAGCTGCAAATCTGCAAGGGGACAGAAGTTTAACTTCACAAGCCACTGAACACGGTGAAAGATGCTATAGAAATAGTCACAACTGATGAAATCATTACTGAGATAGCACCAACCAGGTAGAATATTTTAACCAATGTGCAGAGCGTTCCAACTAACACAGCATTAAAGATGATAATATCTCATGACTATTGCTGCTTTTGCAATGAAAACGGGGTTTGTTTCAAAAAATATGGTGTTTGATTTTTTTTTAAAAAAAGTTCAACACTTGATGAAAACATATGCCACCTGTCTGCTAGTCCATTAAAATCATAAAATCTACATCAGCAACAAGCTTCAACCAAAACTTCTTTGCTAGATATATTAGGCAGGGAGATGTATAGAAGATCTATAGACAGGAAACAAGTAATGTAGCACTCGTTACTTACCCTCCATAGATAGCACGCATGTCCATAACATTCCGCACAGTAGACCAATTTATCCCCATTCCATTAAGATATGAATTTGTCACCACATGTTTCCAGTGTTCATAATCTGCAGTAAAATCTTCCGGGGCTGGTTTCCCATATACTCCAACCTGGGAACTCAATAACCAGTAAGGTGATTTCGATAACCTGGCTGGCCATGGTTCTGGCCATTGAGATCCACGTTCCGATGTGGCAACAGGAGCTTTATGCATGCAAGCTTGTAAAGGCACATTCCTGAAGAAAGCATCCATTCATTAGATCATGTTAAGCATAGATGCAATATCTCACTGCAACTATATTAATAAGGTAAAACTTTATATAAGTATCACTATCAGCATCAAGAGTATGCTATACATCAAAGGGAGTTCTTACAGGTTCTGTAGAGAACTAATTAAGTCAAAAATCGCACTCTACATTTCTCAATACAAAAACATTTCCCAAAGATAAGATGGAAAATAATTTCCTGCATTTGTACCCGATAAACAAATAGAAAGCCTTGCAATCCAGTACCCAACCAAATAATTGATATTAATACTAAAATTGAAGTTCCCATCACTCTGAGAATAATACCAGGCTGCATTTGGATCATCAGATCCTTGACAAATCGGGGGAGCGTCTTTTGATCTTTGTTCATAGCACTCATTGGAAGTAGGCTTGCGATATACAGCAACCCCTACTCCATTGACTCTATCTTTGGTTTTTGAAACAAGATCCCAGCACATTGCCTTTGTCAACTTCTGCATGGCTGTCAAAATGCCAAAAACAAACAGTCATTCAGCAAGACCAGTTAACCAAGTTATGGAAGAGTCAACTGAATAAGTAAAAGCAAAGTACCTTCCCAGATCTCAACATCTTCGGGGAGCTTCTGGTAGACAGGAGTAGCAGACCACACAAAAAGTCCACCAGGTCGAAGTACACGATTCAGCTCCAGGAGAAGTTTCCCCCCTACAGTTTGTTGGATCAAATAAATTTAATCTAAATTAAGTTACACAATTTCATCAGTTGTAACATGAAATAATAGAGATGAACTGATTGCGGATGTAGAAATATTTTTGGCACTGGAAGTCCAAACACCCAGAACTACCTATGTTCTTCTCAAAGGTTGCCTACTGAATAGAAGAACTTCACACTTTTAACCCTTTACTACTTTGAGCAATGAAAAAGGCATCATGAATGAGTAGAACGCAAAATCAAATACCTTCAATATGCCAGGGCACTCTACAACGTGCACAATGAACAACGTCAAAGACTCGACTAGGAAAGGGAAGCCTCTTTGTACCCATAACAGCAGATATAGCAGGAATACCCCTCTCAAGAGCAAACTGAACCTGAGCTTCATGTTCATCTTTAGGAGCTAAAGACATGGCCAAAACATCTCTTTCGAAAAGATAACCCCCAAAGCTTGCAACCCCACATCCAACATCTAATATAACCCGAGTTTGCTTTCCCCAGGCAATTTCTGGAAAAGACTGCAAAAATAATGTAAAAGTGGTGTGAAATAGCATAACTTGATCATTTGATAAATTCAAGACAATTCTCTGCAAGAGCTAAATACACATGATATTTTTTGCAATGTGGGAAAATATCCTACTAAATGCAAGTGCTAACCTGCTGTATGAAATCAATATAGTGCAGAGCGCCATGCTTGAACTGGGTTCCCCCACCAGGGAAGGTAAGGTATTCACCACTAACTTTTACCCAATTTTGATGTCCTTTAATTTCTGCAAGCTTTGTATGGGGAACATTGTGGTACCATATCTGGAGAAGGTAATACTGTTAGCTTCAAGAAAAAGGAAATATGATATAATCAGTTCAAACAGAATTCCGGAAATGATGTATCACCTTTTCCCTACTCGTAGGCCACTCAACTGAATGTTGATATCCTTCAGGAAGTGGAACAAGACAAGTCGGAGGATTATCTGGGCAGTGTCTCTCTCGGTGTTCATAATGTTTTGTACTTCTGAGGTTCCTAATTGCTTCCAAATTATCAAGGCAAGGGATATAATCTGGCCCAGCAGTGGAATTGCAGAGTTTCCAAATGTAACTACTTTCTTTATCTGACTCCGAAGACTTCTGCATTTCCTTTTCATTCTTTGATTCCGACGCCTGAGTTAAAAATGCCCCATTTTGAGTTGTAGTTTCATTCAAAAGGTCCGACTGAGTCCCCGAACTCAATACGGCACTTGAAGACAGGTCCTTCTTCTCACCATCAGACTTCTCATCAGAACTTTGGCCTACCTCCTGATCCTTTTTATCATTCAGTTCAACTGAGTTTTCTATTGATTTTTTCTCATCAGAACCTTCTTTGATCTCTTCTCCGACAGATTTATTTTCAGTTTTCTCCCCAGCCTCAGAATCCTTG